TCGACGCAGCTCGAGTTCCTGAAGGGGAACGTCTCTAGGTTACGTATGTAACCATGGTTCCCCGAGGGAACGAGACGCTGCGTCTCTTTGCCATACTCCCTGCATCCCTGCAGGCGCTACTTCATCGAAGCTGGTTTGCGCTCTGCCGGATGCGCTTTTATACTTTCTGGTGCTTACGTCACCCCGCTCGTGACGTCTCGCTACTCCATTGGACTGATTTGACACGTGCTTCAGAACGCGGTCACGCAGGGGCGTTCCATAAGCGACTTCGACGCAGCGTCTCGTTCCCTCGGGGAACCATGGTTACATACGTAACCTAGAGACGTTTGTCATTAATATAGAGATAACAGGCCATATGAAAGTTCCAAACTGCACGTCTAATGTTAATAGTTTTATCCTTAAACCCATCTCAGTAATCATTTTTCACTTTTTATTTGGCCTTTAATGTTTAGAATGTACTTATTTTACTGTAAAGGATTGGTAAACAGTTGCCTAATATATATATTTTTTCATCATGGCTCATTAAATCCTAAAGTACAAATTTAAAGGCACAGCTGTAGGTTAGATGACGACAACAAACAAGCCTGCAGTTCTCAAGAAACACAATCTCAGGCGTCATTACTCCACTAAACATGCAGAGCATTATGCTGTATTTGAGGAAAAGATGAGTCGAATGCATCAATAACTGTATAACTACGGCAATACATGTATATAGTTAAAATTCATTGTTGTAAAAACCCAAAGTAAAACTGTTCAACTGCCCACCAATGGAGAACACTACCTGGCTCAGGTAATTTGGGTATTATGAGACCCCTCATCATTAGCTTTAAAAACTGTGAAATATATTATGCCCCACCAACTGCTGCAGTCTGATGTGATTTTTACAAGTGTGTGTGTGTGTGTGTGTGTGTGTGTGTGTGTGTGTGTGTGTGGGGGGTAGATCAGTGTTTCCCCATAAACCCAGAGTAATAACTCCACTCTCCTCTCCAACGTTCCTCTCCCACGATCTTTCCTCTCGCTCCGCACAGCCGAATCTTTATGATGAATGGTATTACAAGTGTGTGTGTGTGTGTGTGTGTGTGTGTGTGTGTGTGTGTGTGTGTGTGTGGTAGATCAGTGTTTCCCCATAAACCCAGAGTAATAACTCCACTCTCCTCTCCAACGTTCCTCTCCCACGATCTTTCCTCTCGCTCCGCACAGCCGAATCTTTATGATGAATGGTGCGAGGGGCTACCCTGCCGCTTTAATGTGATTGATGGGGGATGCTAGCGTGCGGCTAACCACTACAAGCCGCAGTGTGGGTATAAGTGCCCCAGATAGAAGCACACACTACAGTCAGCAGTGATATAAAGAACAGCGCGGTCATGCTGAAGGAGATCAGATTAATTACACTAATATGAGGAGGAGGCCGGCCAAGGGCATACAGCAGGAACCACTGAGGAAGACGTCAGGAAGTGTCTAATATGACAACAGGGCTTTGACTGAACGTGATATCAGCAACACGATGCATAAACCATGTCTCTCTGTTGGCTGTTGCATGTGATGAAAGTGATACAGCGAACATTTATCTTAATGGCTAAACTTCACATAAAACATGTTCATACATGACAAATAAAGCCTGGAAGAGTTTGTCATGAACAAAATCCTGGACATAAGCAAAAGTGGACACCAGCTGCAGACATGAATATTATCCTTTTAAAAGCAATTATATGGCTTTGTAGACACTGGACTAATGTTAGTGGAGACAAACCTTTCCATTTACAGTTACAGTAACCATTATGTATTGACTAAATAAACTTCATATAAAGATATCCACTGTGAGCAAGATAAAAACTCTGTTCCAAAACTTGCTGTCTTGGCAGCTGCCTTATAAGGGACCATCCTAAATGAGATGGAACCTCATAGGAGATGAAACTCAACTACAGTATGTAAACAACAGCTCTTTACACATGATACTCATCTCACAATTGATTTCAATAGACCAGGGGTTCTTAACTATGGCCCTCGAGGTCCACTTTCCTGCAGCGTTTAGCCCCAACCTTGATCAAACTCACCTGGCAGTAACTTTCTAGTAATCCTGAAGACCTTGATTAGCTCGTTGAGGAGTGTTTGATTAGGGTTAGAGCTAAACTCTGCAAGAAAGTGGACCTCGAGGTCCAGACTTGACAACCTCTGCAATAGACTATGATGTTAGCATGTTACTAGCTATTCAATACACTAATGAACATAAAAATGCATAGAACACAAATACTGGGTAATCAAAAAAAAGCTGAATTTTCAGCATCATTACTCCAGTCTTCAGTGTCACATGATCCTTCAGAAATCATTCTAATATGCTGATTTGCTTCTCAAGAAACATGTCTTATTATTATCGATGTTGAAAACAGTTGTGCTGCTTAATATTTTTGTGGAAACCATGATACTTTTTTAGGATTCTTTGATGAATAGAAAGTTCAAAAGAACAGCATTTATTTGAATTATAAAACTTATGTAACATTATAAATGTCTTTACTATTACTTTTGATCAATTTAAAGCATCCTTGAAAATAAAAGTTTTGATTTCTTTCTAAAAAAAAAAACACAAAAAAAACATACTGACCCCAAAATGTGGGTAGTGTATATTCTGTAAGTATATATTGATTTCTCTCAGCTTATTGGCTATTTTGGATTGACTTTATTACTGAACTTTGCGCAATGTATTCTGGTATTGTCTTCACTCTGAAACATACAGAGGCTGCCTTAGAATTTGGATAATGTTAAAGGCAGAATACCTTCTGGAAAAGCATCTGTGATGCCTTAAAAAGCTTTAAAAAGCTGTAAAAAAGAGTTCTGGAATAATAAAATCTCTGTTTACTGTTTCTAACTTTGAGTTTTGGGGGCTTAAAATGTGACTCACCACAACTCCATTGTCTGTAACTGCTTCTCTGTAGGTGAAGTGGCACACGGCCCAGGCAAGATAGTACGTCGACATGCGGGGCGTCCTGGAGAAATGGTTGTTCACCCATCCGTCCTCGTCAGACGTTGAGGCCTCCACTGGCATGTTGGACAGCGACTGATACGAGCTCTCGTGTTTCAGACTCACTCTGAATGTGGCTTTATAGATGGGCTCGTCGAAACACGGAAAGGCCTTTCTAGCGTGAGTCGGTGAGAACTGCGTCACTGCAAGAAACCTGCAGAATAACACCAGGAATAAGAACATGAGAGAGAGTTGAGATGAAAAAAATCTCTGGAAAAATATATGCTATTTACATAGCCCAGGAGTCTACAGTGAAAAGTCATTTCACCTTAACTTCATTAAACTGGTTGTCACATGACTTTCCTGAATTCAAATTAGCTCTGACTGCCATCCCTGAACTCATCGCTGTGCATTTTTATCTCACTAATGAGCTTCCTGATGTGAAGAGGGACAAAACCGATTTTTTTTAACTTTGGCAACTAAATCACATCAAATGTCAACATATCATAAATCACACCAGAATTACTACACGGAAATAATGATATATCTGTCACAGCTGTAAACATTAAACCCATCTGTGACAGTCAACAAACTGACAGCGTGAACCAATTTAGATGAAAAGGAAATAATAAAAAGCTGTCAAACTGACCTTATATGCAGTTGGATTGGTGTATTATAAGTGAAAAATTATTAATCTACATTTAGACACATTTACCACATCGGAATCACATCTGAGTCTGAATATCAGAGTCTGGACCATAAACAGCCATGGAAATTTTCTAGTATTTGTAAAGTTAGAGAGTGGGAAAAGCAGTGAGCTGCATTCCAGAAAGCTGCATTAATGATATCAAAGCCCGACTCAAACCTCACGATGGCTTTGGCCACCCACAGCATGACCAGCAGATGGGGGAGGAGGGTTTTCTGCTTCTGCAGTTCTTTTTACTTTCATTAGCAGCCACTCATGCAGTAACAGTCTATAATGAATCTATAATGTCCCATCTGTTTACCTCCTCTTTGTTCCATTCAGTATTTATAGACGCTAGTACCATTTAAACATCTTAACACTATTTACAGACCACGGTTGAGATGCAGATGCAGGCAGGAGGTGATGAGAAATCAGACGACTAACAGACACACAGGAGGAGATTCTACAGGGATATCAGAGTGAAAAACTCACAGTTTGAGTTTGTTGTCTAATGTGACACGGCTGTACTTGAAAATGTGAGAAGGATGAAGGAAAAACTGTTAAATTTCCAAAAAGACCAGACGACCAGATGTCGGTTTGAAGTGAACTAACAACATGGTTCATGTGCCCACATCTAACTGCATAAACATGGGTATTTTCTCAATCCTGCGGGATCCCTGCTGTTCAGCGTTCATAAATATATACGAGCAGCCAGCAGGCGCTGATTACACTAAACTCAATGATCTTCACAGCCTGTGGAGCTCAGAGCTGCAGCAGGACACTGTCTGAACATCAGCATGCTAGATTTATCTCAAAGCTGCTCTTCAATGGATCTTACAATATCAACACTTTTTTTAAAAATGGGTTTGATAAAGAATCGTTACACTGAGGTCTCAACATGCTGTTTCACAGCTAAAAGGAGGAAGAAGTCTAGCAGTTATTGCAAACACAGAAAGGCAACTAGTGGATGGACAAAAGGTTTATGAAGTGTGTCCATGAAAGCGATCCCTTCAGGGTAAAACAAGGTTTAAACATGTCTCAAATGTAGGAAAACCTGGGGCAAAGATTCAAACATAAGCCATTTTTCCCTCAGAGGACAAAGTGTCAGAAGCTAGAAAACAACAAATAGATATTCAGTGCTGTCTAACTGAAATCACTCTGAATATGAGGCTGTAAACGGCTGTAAGATGCTGTAATCAATGCACATATGAGCTTCTAATCAAAGGCTTATATTAAAGAGCTGAATAATATGGTACTGGGTGATCTGACAGTTCTCAAACATCAAAATGAATTCTCTTAGTTTAAACATTGGCACATTTGAACTGAACACCTTAATCTAACTGTCTAATCTCTTATATATTGATGCATTATGGTAATAACGCCATAAATAGTAAAAAAAAAAATATTGCTGTATAAGACACAGCTGTGATTTCAGTACCCAGAGGTTTGACCAGCATTCATTCAGATCTGTGTGACCTCTGACCAATCCTGCGAGATCCCCGCCGTTCAGCGTTCACGAATGTACGAGCAGCCAGCAGGCGCTGATTACACTAAACTCAATGATCTTCACAGCCTGTGGAGCTCAGAGCTGCAGCAGGACACTGTCTGAACATCAGCATGCTAGATTTATCTCAAAGCTGCTCTTCAATGGATCTTACAATATCAACACTTTTTTAAAAAATGGGTTTGATAAAGAATCGTTACACTGAGGTCTCAACATGCTGTTTCACAGCTAAAAGGAGGAAGAAGTCTAGCAGTTATTGCAAACACAGAAAGGCAACTAGTGGATGGACAAAAGGTTTATGAAGTGTGTCCATGAAAGCGATCCCTTCAGGGTAAAACAAGGTTTAAACATGTCTCAAATGCAGGAAAACCTGGGGCAAAGATTCAAACATAAGCCATTTTTCCCTCAGAGGACAAAGTGTCAGAAGCTAGAAAACAACAAATAGATATTCAGTGCTGTCTAACTGAAATCACTCTGAATATGAGGCTGTAAACGGCTGTAAGATGCTGTAATCAATGCACATATGAGCTTCTAATCAAAGGCTTATATTAAAGAGCTGAATAATATGGTACTGATCTATCTGACAGTTCTCAAACATCAAAATGAATTCTCTTAGTTTAAACATTGGCACATTTGAACTGAACACCTTAATCTAACTGTCTAATCTCTTATATATTGATGCATTATGGTAATAACGCCATAAATAGTAAAAAAAAAAATATTGCTGTATAAGACACAGCTGTGATTTCAGTACCCAGAGGTTTGACCAGCATTCATTCAGATCTGTGTGACCTCTGACTTCCCTAAAAACTGAGGAACAGCGACTGTCTGAGACAGAGATAAAAATGACATGCAGACAGTAATGTTAGACTAGGAGTTATAGGTGAACCGTAACCTGCATTTAAAGCTGTTAATATAATGAATGAAGAACCATGGATTATATCTTGTTTCTTTTGACACATGCTGTAATAATATTTGGAAAATAGCAACATTTTTGGTCGTGTTTATAAAACTTATCACCTCCATGTTGTACTTGACCCTTTACTGACATCCTGACATCTGGACATCACGTGGACAGCAGTAAATTAGAACAGCAGTAAATTAAAGCCAGCCTCACAAAACTTACCATGGCAGATTTTTTTTACAAAAATACAATGGCTGCTATTGCTATTAACATTACTACTGAAACTATTAGATTTTGATGTAAACCATCGTAAATACTAGTCAGAAGAATAAATTAAGATAATTACAAAACAAGGCTTGTTGCTGTTGTACTAAGATGCAGATAAACATCTACTTATCAATGTCAGGCAGCATCAACATAACATGATTTACATACAATATCACTGACACATGAATCTCACAAGAATGAATATTCACTGTGATCATTAAAGAAGTCTGTGCTTATTCTCATTCTCCCTTCAAAATATTCCTATTAAAACCACAGTTGTTTTTAGTATAATACCAAAGTTAATACACTTACTAAGGTAATACTGTGGTAACTCAGTGGTGACAGTAGGATTCTTATAACTTATTCACTGTTTGAATGAGATCCCATATTAATTTATTATAGTTTTGCATTTTGGTTACCACTGTGCATTTCTGTGGGAGAATTTATTAGCCAAAAAAGTGCTTAATTGCCCATGAACGTCAGGCAGCATCAACAGTTCCCATTGTAACAGCAGAGCATTCTAACAACATCTGGAAGAGTTTGATTCGGACACTGAAGCGCTTTTACCTTCTTTCTCCATTCAGCACGTACGAGCTGCGGAAGAAGCCCAGGAGCTCGTGCTCAATGTGCGCGTGAAAAGTGATGTTGATCTTGTAAGTTCTGAGGGGCTTCATCTCTCTGTGCAGCGCGATCACATACACCTGCTTGGGCTGGTAGTGGAAGCGGCGCTGGATCCTCATGGCGCCCGCTTTCTTACTGTCCGAATACACCAGCAGTTTCTCCCCCTCCAGCCGGTCCGTGTGCAG